CGGGGGTTAGCTAAAAGCGAACTGCGGCGGAGGGCGGCATGCGACTTTACTTGTTTTAATTTTTTTGTTAAAGCAACTTAACATTTCAAACAGACAAACCGAACAGATAGTTCTTGGACACAACTATATGAACATGAAACCCTTTTTTTTACAGCAAAGATGCATGAAAAGATTAGTTTAGAAATTAAAAATAATAAAGCCTTGCCATTCTAAAAGTGAATGAGCAGCCAAGAAATCAATCAAATCATTCAGTATGATAGCTTAATTACAAAATGACAAGGTCAGTAGGCACAGCTAAAATAGGCAGGATAGAGTTAACACCACAATAAACATGTAATATGGCAAAAGCAAACGATCTAAAAGTATATGCTTAAAAAGTCTATTACTATAGTTTTTCTTACAAAATCGTCGCTTTTCACTTCAAGTAAGCTTGAATAATACAAATTCTTAACTAACTAGCTGATTCACACAAAAATGCTCTTACTGTACCTATGTGATTGATGATACTTCTCTAACAAAGCAACCAAACGAGAATCCCGAGCTCTATCTTCCAACACCTAAATTAAGAAATGAAAGTTACACTTATTGGCACAATCTTCAATAAAAGATATAAAGATAGAACAAGAACCTCTACTATTTGCATCACATCATGATTGGCTGCCAAATCTTCTGATCCAACAACTACCTGATGAAGAAAACGAGAATGAAAACCTACACTCAATGATCAATCGATGAAAAAAATGAACAAAAGATGTACCTTGACAGGATTTGGATCCATAAATTCTTGTGATAACTGGTGGACAGCGAGAGGCCATGTTGCACTAAACATGACCATCTGGCGTACTGCATTAGACGATGATATAAGTATATGTGGTACCATAACAGTTGAACTGTTCTAGAGATTTGCAAATTAATGAGTTACATAGCCAAAACACCGTGTAACTTTGAATAGTATTTAAACAACAATCATAGGGGAGAAAAGATTGAAAATTGTTGCCTTAATAAAATGTTAGATTAGTAAGAAATACTTTTATTAATTGATTATATCCTCAAGATTGAGAATAGTCCCTCCTCCTTTCTACTACTACTTTCTTCTTGTTTGCCCATATATAAGCACCAATATTGAATTAATAATATAATAACAAATAGTTACTCTCAACATAATATCAAAGCACTGGGTTTGTTAACCTAGATAACATTTACCAGCCCGTCACCCAAGCTGGCAAAATCCGACCTCACAACCACCACCAAGATGTTGTCCCAATCTCTCCCTAGCTCAATCTGGTCACCATAGCCCTACTATTACTTTTAGATAGGACCTTGCCTCTTTCAGAAGAACTCATTACCACCTCATTTAAAGCATGATATCGTTAAATGCAGAAAGGATACATCAGCAAGATAGTAAGAGACATATTAAACTATTTATCATTATTTTGCAGACACATTTTCATATATATTGTTAAAACATTTCTTTTCCTTTGCCAACTTGGAGGATTCTGAAATTAATGAGATCACAGAGTATCATAAATATTAATGTCAACAAATTCATCAAGACATTTGGAGAAAATATGATTTAGATCTTATTAAGGATATGGTAGAAAAGTACTGCTTGGAAATTCTAGATAATAAAACTAATGGAAACATTCCACTGTACTTAAAATTTATGAATTAATCAAATGATTGTGCCATATCACATATAACCAACCAATAAACCAAAACTGCTAGTTGAAAGTTACACAAAGTTGAGAATGAAACAAAATTTATTGGCGGGAGAACTTGCCAAACTTTTTCACATCTTTGTTCAACTACTCTAACTCTAATCCCTAACGTTCCGCCAACTCCAGCATGATAAAAATTTGAACTTGCCCGTGATTATGAGCTTTTGATCATTTTTTGGCTAAAGATGAGCTTGTACCAAGGTCCAATATTATGCTAAGAAGTCTTTAGTCATGATTCTTACCACGCAACATCTACAGATGAAGAAATAGGTGGTGGTGGCTCAACTTATAGCAATAATGCCCACTCTATAACAGCTTGAGTGTGCTTTTATCATTTTTTTTGCCACTACGTGACTACAGGATATTCTATGACACTATTTCAAACATTATATGACATCCATTGTTCCACAAGCTCAAATACTCTGCCTCCATATATTATTCTTTAAGTTCAAACGGCAAATAAATGATTATAAAGATGTTAATGAACAAATTTTACTACCATTTACACTATGCCCGCTAGACTTCCAAGCAAAAGGTTATGCGTAACTCTGCAAGAGATAAATTTTGTGGAGCACAAGAGAATCAATGTAGCACTAAAAGTAAGGTTTAAGATTTATTTCAATTATTTCATTTAAATTGGGACTTATATATGTATTTTAATTTAGATAATGATAGATTATATTTTTGTATAATATATAGTTTGGAATTTGAGTAAGAATTAGATTTCATTACAATATTTTCGTTGCAACACTACTTCAATAAATAAGGGTTATTTGCTTGTACTTTGGAACACCTACAAAATCAATTGAATCAAAGATATATAACATAATCTCCTGTCAGGTAGAAATTCAGATATTTTCTATCTTCTCTTTAGCCTCTCTCACCTAATGTAGGATTTTTCATTCTTGGGTCCCTCATTTACATCAATGAAGCTCGCCAATCATAGTGACTTGAAGGGGAACAAACTAGTGTGCATGAAATTTAATATAAAATACATAAAAAAACACAGCAAATTAATCAATTAATAAAAAATCCTGCAACAAAACAATCACGCTATAATGCCCCTATAAAAGAAATATTTGATACCACCGATCAAATAAACAAAAAAATAAGTCATCAACTCAGGAATTGCCAACAACGCTTGACTAGTAGGATAAGGCTCAAGCAGTCATGTCAAGTTCAACTAGCCCAACTAAATTAACAGAACTTGCTTCACCAATTTTTAAAGAATTGCATGGCTTGACAAACACCTTAAATGAAAAGTTAGCAGAGTTGTCTCAAACCTGAGGATGTTTGATTCAATATGGAACGAACTTCTGGTTCGAATCCCATGTCAAGCATTCGATCAGCTTCATCAAGAACCTGTAGGTGATAAGAACATGACTGATGAAAAATGTAGCTGGTGGACTCTAAGCAAAAACTAGATTAAAAAAAAATCTAGGAGATCCATCAGCTAAAGAAACATGTAGCAATGGACAAAAGACCTAAAGCAAGGGGAGTCAAGATCTTGACAAACATGTCCTACACAATATAGAAAACTAAATTATTTAACAAAATAAAACTCCTTCACCTGAATATGTTAAATTCATCCCGAAATAGAGTACTAGCTTAACATCAAATAATGTTTAAATACAGAAATAACCCTTTATTGTTGACATATGCAAGTCACCTTGGCCTAGTGGTTGAAAGCTTTCTCTTTCAACCATAAGTCTTGTATTCAAGGCTTTGCATATGTGATGTGGGTGTATGTTAAAAAGGGAAAAAAAACCTTTATTGTTAATACTGACTGCCTATTCTGCAATTAATGCGTCATAAAAGGGTATTTGGAATAAAAGAACAGCCCCTCAACAAAGAAATTCTAGGAAGTATTGCTATTACAGTCTCAAGTTGTTCAAGAATTTAATTTGACCACCATTTTTACTCAATGAAGAATGGCGAGGCCAGGCGGCCAAATTATGCTTCAAAAAATAAATGACCTGTTAGAAGTTGTCAACTGTTCAAATTGGCAATTCACAAATCAAACTAAAAATTTATGCCAAGAAAAGAATAAAGGCAGGCTCTTCAGTCAAACTATGTATGGCAAATACAAAATTTTACTTCAAATAAAAAAAAAAGGTTCAAATGGAGAAGAGGAAGAGTAAAAATTGAGTATATGATATTAAAATTTAATCCATATAAAATTGATAAATATTGCTAAAAAGACAGTGATGACTGAAACCTTAATAGCAAATCCAAGTAAGAATAAAAAAAAATTGAGTTTTTGTTACATTCACAAAGATCTTAAAAACTTAGAAATGCTAAAAGGAAATAAAAATTTAAATTCTGTTGATATTAGCGTATTGTCTAGAAACAGCATGGTATGATTTAACCTGATTGTAGTGATAATAGTCAAGGATTTTTTAAAACTTCAACACAAATGACGTGCCACAATTTATTTGATTCAGAAAAAAAAAAGTAACAAAAGAATTTTTTTCTTGTTGGGATTAACTAAGGGCTTGTTTGGAACTTTTTTTTTTTTTCGCTTTTATATTCAAAAACATGTTTGTTTGGTGAATTTTTTTTTTTTTATATATAAACAAATTAACTTTTTCTTAAAAACACTTAAAACTACATTTATATATTTGAACTATCAAAGCCATGATTGGATCTGTTTTATTTTTTACACTTTTTTGTAATTTTTTAAACGTACTTGATTTTCTCGGTTTTTGTTTTTCACATAAACAAAAATATGGTTGGATCAAATCACTTTCTGGTTGCAAGAATTGAAACACACACACGCACAAAAGTATATATACATATTTAAATATTTATACAGCCAAACATAGCTTACTTAATATTTTAATTATACAATTTAAACTATATACGTTAAATAAAATCCTGATTAATCAGAAGTAATAGTCGATTACTATGAGTAACTGAACGATTAATTAAATAGCCCATGACAAATTACCATCACTTAACAAATTCAATTATTTTAATAAAAATCTTAATTAATGCCTAATTAGCCAAAGTAAATAGTTAAACATTTATTGAACAAGCCAATCATGTATTTATTGATTATTACATGGACTTAATTATCTTAATTATTACTAATCACTTGTTAATGAACTTAATTGAAATCTTAATTAAATTTAATTAATTAAATAACTCGTTATCTAGCAATTATTATAATTAATCAAATAACATATTTATGACTGATTGATATTATTAAATAATAGAATAATATTAATCTTGATCAAACGCTTACTAAGCACTAAGCTTAAATATTAAATTTTCATGAAAATAATTAATCAATTAATTCATTAACCTCAATTAGTTCATTAACCTAGAGTAATGACTTGTAATTTAAAACAATAGGCAAATTAATGATCATTAAAAAAAATTAAATTAATTTATAATTAGCATTAATATATAAATTATGAAAAACTATTATTTATTAACTATTTTAAACAACTAATATGATTAAAAATAAAAAAAATAACCTAGGATTATGCACTACTCAATCCCAAGTACCTAAATTAATATCTCAATAGTCTAACCAGTAATATAAAAAATCATTGGCACATGTTTCCAAAACATGTTCAAACAATCTTATAGGTGTATTCGCAATTTCAGCATATAAACCACTTGGCTTACAAAACAATAAATGTATACAAGCTACTAATGAAAATAAAAAATATAAAAGAAACACAATCAAAACATAATGCTAATGTATGTTTGATGGCATGTGTGGTTATGCTTTATTTTTATTTTGTTTTGTTTCTCTTTTTAACTTAAAAGATTATGATTATTGGATGCGCACTTTTATTCATCATAAATGTTCTGGAAAAAAGTAAAAACAATTATTTGTTATGTTTACGGACTAATAAAATCATACAACCACTGGCACTATGACTAATATTCTTAATTAAAACCTTTATCAACTATCAATCAGCTAAGTATATGAACCAGGTACTTTAACTCATGAATCAACTAGCTGTGTTAATTACCATGCTTAAATATTAAAAGAAATTAAAGAAAATTAATTAAAACTTCTTGATTTATAAATATCACAAAAAATAATTGCATATAAATTATCCTGGCTAATTAATTATCAAACAAAAAATTGCAGAAAACTAAAATCCTAGATAATCCGTAACTATCCTAAATTATATTTATTATTTATGAAAAAATTAACAGCATTTCAATAGCCAATTATCAAAATTAATCATTAGTGGAAGATCAATGGAGAGGTTGTTCAGCTAAGATATATCTCAACTCACTATCAGATTGCTAAAATTCTTACCAACGCTCTTTCTTGCCACCACATCAACGATCTCAGTAAAAAATTTGTACGGGGTAATCTTGTTACTTAGAGAAGTAAAAAAACTTGTTACTTAGAGAAGTAAAAAAAATAAGTTACGGTGGCAAGAAGCAATACAGAATCTGAGTATCGTGCCCTAGCCCAAGAAATTTGTGAAGGCACGTTGCTAAAGAAACTACTGGTGGAAATTCAAATGGAGAACCAAGGCAGTATTAAGATGTTAAGTGATACTTAATAAGTCATCCGAATTTCAAAGAAGCTGGTACAATATGATCGCACCAAACATATAGATTGACAAGCACTGCATTTCTGAGAAGGCCAATGAAGGTGTTGTTCAACTAAGATATATCTCAACTCACTATCAGATTGCTAACATTCTTATCAAGGCTCTTTCTCGACACCAATTCAATGATCCCAACAGCAAGTTTGGGATTTATGATATATACAACCCAACTTGAGGAGGAGTGTTGATAAGCATATCTAATTTAGTAAACCACGGGTCTGTTATTACATTTGAGAGGGAGAAATTATTCTCCCATAATTATCCATTATTGTGTTTTTCTTTTTTTCATTTTATCATGATGATATATATATATATTTGTTAATAGCTTAATGAGAAACTCCTACAAGTTCAAAGCACCAAAGTGCTATGAAGGTAAATATGAAAGTTTAGATTTGAAATATGTAAATATATAAGAATTATGCTTTCCGTGTGTAAATTTTCCTATGATTTAAAGTCAACATATATATTAATTTAACTTGATCCCTCCATATTTCATAATTTAAAAGAACTAATTTATTAGTATTTATTTCAAGGGGCATTTACATACATACCACTCAATTCTTATGTATTTATATATCCAACATCTAAACTTTAATTTTACATTTATATCACTCTAATTTTCATATCACATCAAAAATATCATCATTTTAACTTTATACACCTTTTCATGCATAGGTAAGGTAGCATGTATGTAGAAAAAAGAAGTATAGGTACATAGGAATTGAGAGGTATGCATGTAAATAGAGGTGTAAATGAGCCAAGTTTAAGAGAACCCAAGAATTTTTCGTATTCGGCTCAATAAAATTTATTTTTGTTCGCATTCGGCTCGTTTATCATTCGAGCTTAAAAAATTATTCGTGTTCGACTCGTTTACTTAACAAACGATTCGAACACGAGCTGCTTAACTGGCAGCCCTACCGTAAGATGTGATTGGGCTTAAGTTTTTTTTTTTTTCTTTTGGACATTTAAATACATACCAGCCAGTTCTTACCTATTTAAATTTCAAACACCTAATTTTTACTTTTTGCATTTCTCACCCAAATCTCTTATAAGCATTTTTTTTTACATCATCAACAACAACAACAAGCCTTTATCCCACTAAGTGGGGTCGGCTACATGAATCATTTTTCTCCATTGTGTCCTATTGAATGTCATATTTTCATTTAATTCTAATAAATTAAGATCATTTTTTATACAATGTGCCCAAGTCTTTCTAGTTCTACCTCTGCATTTCTTAATATAAGTCGATTCCAAAACATCTACTTTCCTAACCGGATCATCAGATGGTCGACGTTCAATGTGACCAAACCATCTAAGACAACTATCTCTAATTTTGTCCACCACAGGAGCTACACCAACCTATCATGAATGTATTTATTTCACATTTTACCTAAAGCCGTTCATCCACCTAAGCATTCTCATCTCGGCAACACTAAATTTTATGCTTCTCTTTTAAAGGACAACATTATGCGCCATAAAGCATTACAGGTCTCACCGCCATCTACAAATTTTCCCTTTCAGTATAAGTGCTACTTTTCTATCACACAATAGGCCCGAAGCATTCCTCCCTTTTTTTAATATAGTATAAAAATTTAATATAAAAAAAATATAAATAAATATTATTATTTAATTATTTCAAGTCAAAACGAGTCGAACGCGAAAAAATAAATCTTTGCTTGTGTTCAACTCATTTAAAAATCGAGCTAAAAAAAAATGTTTGACTTCGACTTGCTTGATTAACAATCGAATCAAGCACGTACTACTTAACAAGCCGAA